TAATTTGGGGGGTTTTCGGGGGTTTGTCTTGTTTTGTATTTGTTGTTATTTTTGTGCTTTATTTGGATTTGTTTTTGTTTTTGTTTGTTTTGTTTTGTTTTTTGGGGGGTTATTTTTTTTATTTTTTTTTGCTGTTGTTTTATTTGCTGACATATGGAGAGCATTCTGGTTATACAACAAATATGGTAGACACACTGGTTTGTGCACTTTAAAAAACTAAGCATGACTTCATTATTCAAACGGAATGTTCAAATCTATTATCTTTTTCGAAAACTTAAATGCAACAAAATGCGTACTATGAATGGTGCAAATCTGTGTCTCTGATTTGTGTAAAAGGATTTAAAATGTGCCGCAGAAATGCCTTTGGTCTGCTGCTGATTTGACATAATATGTGTCCACTATGTAGCTCTTAAAAGAGTTAGTATTTTTTCAGCCAAACAACGAATGTGCTTATGGCGGACGATTCAACGTGCTGGGAGGACCACTGGAAATGGACTGGGCCTTCAACCGTCTCTTCAAGTTCGACATCACTCGCGCCCTGGAGGAGGCGGGTCTGCACCCCGAGGATGTGTTCGACTCGGAGGCCCTTTTCACCCTCAGGGTCAAGATCTTCAACGCTGAAGGACAGGCAGTGGCTCTGAAGTCAGTCATGCCCGAACCGACCATCATCTTTGAGCCTGCCCACGGTGAGTGGAAGAGAATAATATGGTGGATTTCTTCACTTTCACCTTCACCTGTTCCACAGTCTGGTTGACCGTTGGGGCACCACTGCTGATTTTACAACCAGCTTTGTCCACTTCTCGCGGTTCTCAACTTTCCTTAATATGATGGTCCAGTCACATGTTGATAATGTCTTCCCGTCGTTTCCTCTGTCTTCCTCTTTGTCTCCCTCCTTTTGCTGCTGTTCGCTGTAGAATCGTCTTGGTAGATTTCTACTCACGATCAAAAGTTGATTTGGTGGTGATAGTTCTTTCAGGTCAGTTTGGTAAATATTTTCACGAAGCTCACAACTGTTTAAGATCATATGAACACGCTCGTCAGTTTCTTAAATCGAAAAGTGTGGACAAATGTAAGATTTTTGTCTCGTGGCTTGGATAACAAAACTTGAGTCATCTCATTCCAGCTAAGCTTAGACCTCACTTCTCAATCTCTCACACTAACCTTTGGGAGCGCCGTTATCTCAGTTTGAAAATAGCAGCATGGCATTTCAAGCGTCCTAGATTCGGTCTTATTTTACTTTAATAATAATGGTAATGTATGATATTTATAGAGTTTATTTGCATACTTTACAATGCTCAGTACCCTTTACGAGACATTGTTATTAGTAGCTTACGGTGACATTAAAATACAGGCAGAATTCACGCACGTGAAATGACAAAAAATATATATATGTATAAATACAAGCATACCGGGATGTAGGCGGTAAAGGGTAAGTGTATAAACGATTTATGTAAACAGTTTTAGAAATATTAACAAGATAAAAAATACACTACACAACTCTAAGAAAAAAAATACTGTTACAACATAAATTATCAGTCTGCTAAATTGTAGCATTTCTAAAAGATGTTGTTTGAGGGTTTTAATGTGCAACATCCTATACTACAAAATAGGAATGTCATCTGATAAGTTCGGCTCCCCTTACATAGTCTTGTCGTGAAGTGTGCTACTGAACAATGTTCTCCATCCTAGGTGCTGCGGAAGATGTGAGCTCAACCACCCTGTCCGGCGTCGGAGTCCGTAAGGACGTGTCTACTCTGTCCGCTGCCGAAATCTCCAACCTCCGTGACGCTCTCCGTAAAGTGCAGGCTGATGTGGGCCCCAACGGATTTGCTGTGAGTTTAGAGTATTATGTGTATTTCTTATGTAGGAGTTTTGCGCCCCTGTAGGTCGTTGACTTAAGTTTTGTCATTTAGAATGCAGGCTTCGACCCCGCCTGTCAGGCCCAGCCCGGGCTAAGACGAATACAGCATTCAAGTATAAAGATCGAGATGCGCTACAATAATTCTCCCCACTCGGGAATGAAACTGGGGTTTCCTGAGTGCAACGGTGAAATGCGTATCCGCTACACAACAGACGCCGGTGTGAGTTTAGGAGATACTCAATTGTGTAGCAAAAAGAATACGTGGAAAACAGTTCCAATTATCCAAGATGTCTATTAGCGTTTCTGAAGTATGCCTTATACTGAGAAAGCGATGTCGTACTTTTCAGTCTGTTCCTATCAACCTTGCCAATCCCCTCCTCCCCACTCACCCCGTCTCCATCCATCCCCCTCCACTCTGCCTCCCAATACCAATCTGAACCTGTATCCTCGGATTTATGTGGACCCAAAAAGTCCCCTGACTCTATAATTATCTTCGTCGGTATCCATCGGTCATAGGACGTGGTCATGGATCTTGCGCCTGGTAGAGTTTCTTTAATAGGTGCTAGAGCAGCGTGTGCTGTGAATGTGTAGTCCAATTTGAGAGTGACATTCCCTGCCTCAGCCGTCACATTTGAATATTTTGTACATTTGAACCTGCTATCACGACCACCTGGCCAAGACAATGACTGTCTCAACGCCCACTTCCCATTTTCCCCTTGCTCTTTGTTTCTGTACTACAATGCCAATGTCCTAGACATTCGCCTGTCAAAGGCAACTACTGTTCTCTTCGACAATGCATGGCCGTCTTGGGCAGCTTCCACTGCATTCTCCTATCTATAATCGTATGTACGCACTTATATCATTCTCGTCACTTTTGTAAAGCCCTTTCTCGCGTATTGTCCCCTCTCAGAGCATCGCCGCCTTCCACGGTGAGCCAGCAGGCTGTGAACTGAACGGTCACCCCATCGCTTGTTGTCAACACGGCATGGCCAACTTCCCCCAGTGGCACAGACTCTTTGTCAAGCAGTTTGAGGACGCTCTCACCGCACAGGTAAGATGATTCACCTTTTAAAGCAGGTCATAGGATAAAACGACATACTCAATCATGGGACCTCTTGCACGAAAACACCACCTTCTCTTCATAACCACAAAATTTCTAAAGATCCCTGATTGACCGTTCAGGAACTGGCACAGTGGATTGCTTTTATTATCTTTGTATAGAGTACATGCTCCAACAACTTTTATGGGGTATATTTTTCCTTGACTTTGCAGACACCATTTTGTTTTAATTGTATCTTTAATGTTTTAAGTTTTAAGTACTTTTGATTTCCAGCACTTATAAATTTTGTCTTCGGACTTGTAATAATTGTCTCATACCACGTAGAAAATGCATTCGTTTTTCGAGTGTGCATAGACTGCCTTGTAGCAATGAACTGGATTTCGAAAAATCCTTCTATAGAGTTTATCATGCAGGCCTGTCAAGGTATATGTGTCCCCAACACTTTGTCCGTCGCCCGCTTGTTGATGAGCCACACATGATCTCCCCCAGGGCGCCATGATCGGAATCCCGTACTGGGACTGGACCACGGCCTTCACCGCTCTGCCTTCCCTTGTCACAGAGCAGGAGAACAACCCCTTCTACAACTTCAAGATTTTCAACGGTGAGGTGACGTCACGTGCTCCCAGAGAGCAGCTCTTCAATGACCCCGAGTTCGGATCCGAGTCTTTCTTCTACAGACAAGCCCTGCTGGCGTTTGAGCAGACCGACTACTGTGACTTTGAAGTAAGTCAAAGTGTTAAAGAGGCTATGTTAACATGGTTCATGTCTTGTCAAAGAAACGGATACGTAATACACCAGAGGCGTCATTTTTTCATAATGTCTTTTGAGAAATGTGTGGTTCCCATTACCTCTCCCAAAATCTTAAACTCTGATATTTTGAAACTGAAGACAAAACGTCGTTCTTCTTCCCTTTCTTTCTCTCTGCACCAGGTCTGCTTTAGATTATCTTAAAAATTCGTGACCTGCAGACTGAAATCATAGTTACACTAACTTTAAAAGGGCATCATTCCCAACCCCTTTCCTTTTCTTTCTCACTCCTACGCCCGGTCGCTTTGTGTCTGTCTCTCATCCTCTCTCTCTCTCCTTCTCTCTCTCACCCTCTCTCTCTTCCTCTCTCTCTCTCTCTCTCTGTCTCTCTATCCATCTATCTCTCTCTTACACACATACACACACACACACACATACACATACACACACACACACACACACACACAAATACAAACGCAAAAAAAAACACACACACAAACACACACACTCACACTCACTCTCACTCTCTTACACAAACATATACACAAACACACACA